TTCATCCGAACACACTAAATAGCCTTTGGAGCGCATCAGAAGCGCTCGTGTCGCCCACGTCCCACTTGGCGTCCCTCAGACAAGGTTCTGTTGGTGAAGGCAGATCTGCTCCGCGTATGCATTTCAGCCAGGCTGGATTCATCCGAACACACTAAATAGCATTTGGAGCGCATCAGAAGCGCTCGTGTCGCCCGCCTACCCCCTGGCGTACCTCAGACAAGGCTCTGTTGGTGAAGGCAGATCTGCTTCGCGTATGCATTTCAGCCAGGCTGGGTTCATCCGAACACACTACATAGCATTTGGAGCGCATCAGAAGCGCTAGAGTCGCCCGCGTACCCCCTGGCGTCCCTCAGACAAGGCTCTGCTGGTGAAGGCAGATTTGCTTTGCGTTTGCCTTTCAGCCAGGCTGGATTCTTTCGAACACACTAAATAGGATTTGGAGCGCACCAGAAGCGCTCGTGTCGCCCGCCTCCTACCTGGCGTCTCTCAGACAAGGCTCTGTTGGTGAAGGCAGACCTGCTTCGCGTATGCATATCTGCCAGGCTGGATTCATCCGAACACAGTATATAGCATTTGGAGCGCATCAGAAGGGCTCGTGTCGCCCACGTCCCACCTGGCGTCCCTCAGACAAGGCTCTGCTGGTGAAGGCAGATCTGCTTCGCGTATCCATTTCAGCCAGGCTGGATTCATCTGAAATCACCTTATTTTATAGTATGACATGTGTTAAGATTTCTTCATCAATTTTAGAACAGACATGCACTTGCAAACGGCCGAAAAATATTAGAGCCACTATCGTGACTATTTTATGTATTGAAGTATTTTTTTTTAAGTTCACTACTTACTAGTAGTATTTGTTGGTGTGGGGGTCGGAGAGTTACGGGATGCAATCCGTAGAGTCAATTACAGTGACCATGTTACATTCAGTTAAGAAGGGCGGATCCGCGCTCACGCTCGATCGTGCCCGGCCCCCACTTCTCGCTCGCAGTGCTGATGAACCTGAGCGGATCGGCCTTTCTTAAATGACTATATCGCAGATCAGGCAGTTAAGTATCAGAGAAATGCTTGCCTTTACCTACTAGGCGGTCTCACACATTCATTCATATAGTTATAGAAAAATAGGTCAACTATTATCCTAACCATTGAATTCTCCTTATTTTTCTACAATTAGTGAAATTCGAATGAAAGACGTAGGATAATATGGTGACATAAGCCCTTGTAAAGCGCAAGTCCTGAGCTTGGGCGGCGCGGCGTTGCCGGACAGGCCCGACCGAACAGGAGAGAAAGCCAGAGACAAGAGGAGACTGGAAATGGGTGCAATAAAAGCGTGCCTCGCCAAACATCTGGTCACTGGGCTCACCGAGGTTCGGGCCTGGTCCCCCGTGCGTAAGCGCACTAGCGGCTGCCGTCCCGAACGCCTATTGGTTTAGGCAGGATGGGGTGGGGGAGGGCTACCTTTGAGTCGCCCAGCGCAGGGGTCTCACTTACTCTCGCTTGTTCTCACTGGTGCGACAAAGACAAGCTACACGACTGTCACTCAGAGGCGACCGCGCGCGGATCTTTGAAGGGAGCCGAGGATAGT